TAAAGATCGAATCTTGGATAAAAATAAAGTCGCCGGAATATATCAAGTCTTGGAGCTCCCAAACACAAAGCATAAAATAAAATAGAGAAAATTCAAAAAAGGGAAAAGTGGGAAATGAAAGCTTAGGTGCTCCCACACAAAGGCAACAAATGTATTTATACTTCTCTCTAAAAAAAAAAACAAACACTGATTTCACATACATTTAATGAAATGCACTCGCAACATCGTGAAACGGGATTTGGGTCACAAATTGGCACAGGCTGGCACGGTTGGGGACTCACGATACCGCGGACGGGAGGTCGGGTCGTGAGTGGCACTAGTCTCTCTCGGGCTGCATTAGCGAGGTTGCGGACACTGCCTCGAGTCGCGAGTGTCTGGTCTCGCACAGGTCTTCACTCGTGGCATCAGGGACAATCACTGGGGTCGCGAGTGCGCAGGTCTCCTCGACGGCACTCGCAAGGTCGCGAGTCTCCATTCGGGTAGCGAATCTGCTGTCCCCTCGGCGGCACTCACAAGATTGCGAGTCTTCATTCGGGCCGCGAGTCTGTTGTCCCCTCGGGGGCACTCGCAAGGTCACGAGCAACAAATAGGTCGCCAGTCTATTGTGCCCTGCAACGCGCTCACGAGTCTGCAGTCCCCTCGGCGGCACTTGCAAGGTCGCGGACAAGCATTGGCGTCGCAAGTTAAGGTCACGAGCAACAAACAGGTCGCCAGTCTATTGTGCCCTGCAACGCGCTCGCGAGTCTGCAGTCCCCTCGGCGGCACTTGTAAGGTCGCGGACAAGCATTAGCGTCGCAAGTTTGGGTGTTCTCTCAGTAATTCCGTGAGGCTGCGACCGTGAGTTGGTTGGAGAGACCTAGTTCGAGGGTCCGCAAAATTTAGTTCGGGTCGCGAGTGTGTTAGTGCTGAAATTTCCACTCGAATATGACGATGCTCCCAACCGATTTTCTTCCATTGAACCTACAAAACACCAGAAAATGCAATGATGGAAACAAAAAATGAAACACGACCCTAAAACTAAAAATGAGAATTACAAACACAAATGGATCGGAACAACGCAATTAAGAACAAAAAACGACTTGAATCACCACATAAATCACATAAAAATAAGCACAAAAACATAACAAACAATAGTCGCGTTGTCTTTCCCACGCAATCCATGCTTCACCTATGCGCTGTGCAGTCGTGCCAACTTCTCTCTTGTATGCTCACGAACGGATGGACCAATGTCGTGCGCAGCCTTATGCATCCTCATGTAGCCTCGGTGGGATGCGGGCGGGCTTCTCCACACTATTTCGCGTTGCAATGACGAGTCTCTCGGCCCGTCCCGTCTCCCTTGGCTCAGAAAATGGCTTGCCTAGTTGTAGACCTAGGAGGATCGAAAAGTCAATCTGCATCAGTTTCCAAGCGATCCGTGTGCGTCTTAGTAGCCCCACACGCGACTTAGGTCTCCAGCGCATCTAATCGCGTGAGCCTCGACGACAGCGCGATCAGATCGTACAGTCTCGGCCCTTAGTGCTCCAGAAGACCTTAAACGAGTCGTCCATGCACCAGACAAGCCATGGCAAGTCCAGACCATCTCCAGCAGCTTGGGTGCGGTCCGATAGCAGTCCGACAATCCCAGGGTCAATCCGGCAGCCCAACGAACTTTGAGGTTCAAATGATCTCCAACAACTAATATAAAAACCATCTCAGACGCTACTAAAATTTTAAATCGTATGTCCTGATCCTAACTACAGATTATGTTGCATTAGGATTTATTTTTAATATATTTGGATGTCTACATATACGGCGTTCCTCATATAACCTAACAACCTCCAAATCTTGTTGTTACTGGAAGCTCGACACTTTAAGCCCATATACGAGCTTCTTGATCGAGCTTCTTACTTTTGTACAAATGAGAGCTCTCTCAACTCGTCCCTAACCAATCTACCTACTCAGACTGTTTTACCGAGCTACTTCTGAGTGCTATATCATGGATAACTCGCTAGCTTGCAAACTGTTGTTGGCGGGTGAGTGTGAAATGTGTGGAACTCGCTAGCTTTCGAACTGCCATTGACGGCCGATTGTGGCATGTGGGGAACTCGATGGCTCGCGAATTCCATCTCGCAGGTGAGTGTGGCTATGTAGGACTCAGGAGCTTATGTTGGGTGCCTCGGCTACATTAGCGTGATCGCGGGCTTGATTTGGCAAGTGACTGCGCGATAGGTGAGTTACATGGGAGACTAGCATGCATGCAGGTGATATGGTCAGTGCTTAGTTCAAGTTCGCTGGTCACTCGGCTCGTTATTAGGTGCTCAACTTGAGCTCGTCGGGCGCTCGACTCTTCCCAAGAAAAGTCATGTTCATTCGGTCGAATTTTCGACACTTTCCAGATTACAATCTTCCTACAAAATAAATATAAAAAGAGAAATAAAAAGTACAAGACACCAAAATGATAAGAAAATACAAAAACGGACAAAAACAACTAAATGGATCAGGAAAAAACCTAAAATAAACTAAAACAAACACTTAAAAACACAAAAAAGGACAACAAAAACATACAAAACAGGAAGTCGTGAAGAACAAGATCAATATGAATAACAAGAAAAATTCTATTTCCTAAATTATAAGATATCTAATAATACTATATTAAGGTTTTGATGATATGTTTTTGTATTTGTAGGATTGGTGTACGAATATGATAAATATATGAGCTTGAAACTAAATACAAACATCATTTTATAATTAATTAAAAAAATGTTAAATATAAATTACACTAAGGGTATAATAGGTTTTTGGCATGTACGAGGCGACCACAATTCTTTTTTGTCTCGTACATTGAAACTATGGTTGATATTCATTTTTTTAGATGATAGACTTCAATAATAAAAACACATATTTATAAGCGGCTAACTAACTGACTAAAGAAGCTAAACAATTGAATTAGGACAGAGGCCTACACAATGAGAATTCCAGTAGCCGAGAAACTACTACACTAACTACACCCACAAACTACAAAAGTAGTAATCTAAAATTCTAACTCCCAAAAAGGAGACAAAAGAGAAAAATACTTTCCAAATGAGAAAAATAAATCCAACAAACACAAACAAACGCCAACAAGAACTAAACACATTAAATTTAGAAATAAAACTCTCCCCATAGATGCCAAGCCACTCCGCAAAAGAAACCACGACACCGACCCTTGAGGACAACCACCACTATCACGGACAAAGACACGATCCAATTCCCAGTTCTAGAAACTACAAAGTACGCCTAACTAGATCCGAAATTTACGGATCTGACCCTCTCCAAGGTAGAAGACCCCTGAATTATAAACCGGAGGCCAACCCTAACACCAACCGACAACCATAGGCTGACAAACGACTAGAGCCACGACCCACACCACTGGCGAGAACCATCGCCCAAAACCAAAGCAAACAGAAATAGGGAAGAGAAGAAGTCAACCTCAACTCTAAACACCACGAAGTTATAATTGAAGCAAGTCGCCCAACCATGACACCGGAACCACCCTCGATAACCGCACAACCAACCAGTTTTACAACAACAAGATGCTACTCGGACGATAGGACAATGATGAAATGGAAGCCAAGGAGCACGACCTTGTGACGGGCAGCACCGCAGCAGAGCGGAGTGCCCCACTCAGAGGAGGCCAACAGAAACTCAAGGGCAAGGTTTTACTGTTTCATATTTGGGTATTTTCTAGAGAGTAAAAAAGTTTTTTTTTTTAATAAGCCAACCCTCCAATGGTTGATATTTATTTTTAATAAATCTAATAGTGAGATAAAGGATACCTAATGTTAAGTATCTACGATAAGTATCTGACCACAGAAGATCCCACTATAAATTAATATATTTTACTATATAAGTAAAAATAGAATAAGCGCATTATTCCAGCACTACGATTGTAATTCGTCTCTACAAAATCCTCTTTCAGCCATTTACGCACAATCATACCCAATTTCATGTAAGAAGAACAAGCTCATCTCTCTCTCTTGTACGCCAAAAATCCCCAAATTACAAAAAAAAAAAAACTCAAACAGAAGCCATCGTCCTCGCCTCCTATTCACAAGGCCCGCTGTGCAACCCGGTCCCGGCCGTGGCTGACTGCGAACCTCGTCCCTCTTAGAGCCAATGATCCCTCGGGTGTAGGGATCACCGATTAAAAAGTGCCTATGTCGCTGTGCAAGGCTTTTCCAGTTCCGAGTAGGGCTTGCTCGTTGAATTCCGACCCACCTCCCCGGTGCTGGTTGGGGTTGAGAGACATCCCTCCCCTCTCTCCATTTCTTCAGCCTTGGTTGGTGGCTTGGGCTTGGTAGGGTGGTTTGGCGTGGGCTTTGGCAACAGGTTGGTTGAGCGGCTGGTTGGTTTTACGGAGGGGTTTGTCGATTGGGGTGTGAGAGCTTCAGGTGGGAGGGAGGGGGGTCCTCAGTCGACCTCCAGTCTCAGCTTCAGAGGTGGTCCGTCTGGGAGAAGATTTTGGTTGTTTGGTGCGATTCCAGCTAGCCGTAGCTACACCGGAGCTTCTAGAGCAGTGCTAGAGCCGAAGTTCGATTCGAGTAGGCGGTATTCTTTGAGTTTCGGGCCGCGGTGTGTTGTGGATTGTCTCGACTGTGGCGTGGAGGTTGTTATTCTACCTATTTTGTGTTATGTGTTGTTTTGTTTGTGTTTGTTGTTGTTTATTGTAGTGTTGTGTTGTCTTTATATATTTAGTTGCTTATTCTCCTCTTGTAGGAGTTGTATTATCCCTCGTTGGGATTTGCTTAGGTTGTTTAGCTGTTTGTCTTGTAAGTGAGTTAGAGTATTCTAGACGTCCGCCACAGGGTACTCTTCCTAGAGTCAGTTAGATGTTTGTTTGTCTAATTCTAGTTATTGACTAGTTGTATTTATGTGTTTTTATCTATAAAATCTCTCGCATTGAAAAAAAAAATAAAAATAGAATAAGAATCTTTAAACTAATAAGCAATAATTGATCCGATAAAAGATCTTTTAATATCTCTATTTGAATAAAAAAATGAAACGACAAAAGATTATTTTTCCCGCTGGAAAAATGGAACACCGTCAGTATATTAGGAATTAAACCTGATAAAGAGTCTTTTAACTGTGTCTATTCATGCATGACTAGTCCACCTGCACATCACTCATTAGGATCCAATTTAAAAAATTGATCGGAACAATTTCTAGTCGAAAATGGCAATTCGTAAAGAAAGTCCAGACCCAGTATACAGAAAATGTGTTGTGTCAGCATTGGAAGTGAGGACAGATGGACAAAAAGATGATCAACAGCAAGCAAAGGACAATGCCAAAGACAATCAGCTTAATCTTCATGTTCTGAATCCACATTTTTCGTTTCATCTTGGTCCCTTGTGTTCGAAAATCTTGTGCCTAAAGTTCAATACAGGAACACAAACTTTATTAAACTACGTCTATAATAGCTAGATGATATATGGACAAATACGATGAATGCTAATCTTATTCGTGAATATAACCTAAGGTGATTATTTAAATTTGAAAAGTAGAGAATGAAAGAATTTTCCACAAAAGTTCTCTTGCTCACTATATATATGTATATTTGATGTGATATATACACGAATACTTCATAGAGTCGGGTGAAATATCACATGTATAATATGATGTCATTCCATATACATTAGTTCTAATGTATACTAAGATTTGCAAAGAAAATAATGTTTGGGTTGGAGGATTTTAGAGTTTGAAATCAAGGTAGTGTGTTGGGCATTGATCTTCTCCACTGAGTTTTTATTTTATTTTTTTTATCAAACTTTTATAAACACATCTATTAAGGCTTTAACACTATTTAGTAAAAGACTAGTATAAAATATTTTTATAAAAGAACAAATAACTTTCATCTACCCACGAAATTTTCTAAATTTATAATAGAATTTTGTAGACAAGTAAGATTGAATTGTAAGGTTTATGTTAAATAGATGGGTAAAACATGTTGCAAGTTTTATTATACGTGTTTTTAAACTTTGCAACCTATAGTATTCATCTAGGTAAAATGCAACTTGATTTTTATACATATTCATAATTTGTAACTTTTTATACATCTTGACCATACAATCATCCGCAAAAATGGACATGCGTATGGTCCAAATGTAGAAGAGAGAAACATATAAATATTCATGAAGTTCATATTGCATTTTACCAAGAAAAATATTATAAGTTACAAAAGCTAAAAACAAGTACGATACAAAATTGTTTTACCCACAATTAAATAATTACAGATTTTATAACATAATTTTAGGTAAAATTTTCGCATAGACCATACTTTGAAAATTAAATGAGAAACCTATATATAGTTGTTGCGATTTGATTTTCTGTTAGGCTGTCGAATGGTTATGCAACCACTCTTTTACATATATACATACTTTTAAATTCAATTGTCATATTTTAGAATACTATATTTCATATTTATAAGTCTGCATTTTTTGTAGGAGACTTTCCAACGATTAGACAACCTAACAACAACATTTGTGATAGGCCTAGTTGTCCACTTATAGACTCACTTTCAAAAATAAATATTTAGATGTAGTCACGGCTACGGGTCTACCTGGCCATTTAGATATAGCGATAGATGAGACATTTACTTGGAAATTCATATGATGGATGAATCAATGTTGAGAACGAAGTTGCAAACTAACCTGTGATCGGAGATTTTCAGTTTTGTCCACAAGAAGCTCAATCTTCTCTCCTCGGTCTAAGACCTGACAAACAGACATCATGCTCAATACTCAACTATATATAAAGAAAAAACGTCATATATTTATCTTTTTTATAAAGGGTCACAACTTTCTTCGTTTTCCAAATAACTGAAAAAGAATCAGAATAAACAACTACACCCCAAAGTTTTCAATTATGTTGATGAGTGCAAAAAAATGTTACATACCTTCTCAATATTTTCCATCATCACACCCTTCACTTCAGAAACCTGAGCCTTCACTTTTGCAAGTTTGCTAATTTCTTCAGGATGATTGGCACAATAGTGCATCTGCTCTTTCAGTTTAGGGCTGCAATACGAATCACAGTTTGTTAGTGCCCATAAATATGAAGATAAAAGAAAAATAATAGACATCATTTAAAATGAATCACTTTATACCCAAAATCTTTCTTGAGACTATTTGGGCCTGCAGTTGTAGCTTTACCTCCACCATGTCTCTTATTGAAATCATCCTTGATACGCTCTAGAAAAGCAATCGGAACTTGCCTACCAGCAGATTCAACTGCAACTACACAATAAGCTACATGATGCAACATAAAAACAAATTAATAATTAGTATGTGAAGCCTCAAATTAAGGAAGGTAATAAAAATTAAATAATGACAATGTCTAGAATTAATAATTCACAATGCCAAAATAAAATCAAGGTTCAACATATAATTAGGTGCCAAAGCTTAACAACAAACTTCTTCATAAATTTTTCACCAATAAGCTCTACATTCAAATAAATTATTGTGTAGAATAGGAATCTCTTCATGGTGTCAAAGAATATACATGACTAATATTCCATGATAAATCAAGTTTCAAGACACAATTACATTAACTATTGTTTTTCTATGAAAATATTGTTCTATCAAGAGGAATTAAACTAACAAGAATTATAGTTGAACTCAATTTTAATAGTATTCTCTTAGCACAAACGATAAAAATGTAATTTCCTAAAATGTCCACATATTTTATCATAATATAAATCAACTCACGCAAAATAATGCATGCATTACATATATGCATGTATTGTTCTTCTCATCTGTATATCGGTCAAATCCTAGCACAAAGAAATCCATTACTTTTTCCTCAATAAAAAAGGTAAGATTCGATCTTAAGTCTTAAGTTTAAAATATATCCCAAAAATAGAATTATTAGAACGCATTCATATGCACTGAAATTTGCCAAACATGAAATGAAATGTAAAAAAAATACACAAACTATAACATGAAAATATCAAACCATATTTAGCATCGTAAAACCAATAAATTAAAAAATACAAAAAAAATATATGAAAAAAAAAGGAATTAAAATGATTGGGAAAGAAAGATTTAGATATGGTGGCCATACTAAATCCATTTTCCACAAGGTAATTGAATGTGTGGTCGTCGCAATTGTAAGTGAATCTGTTGCTGGAAGCAGGCAACTTTTGTAGACATTGGGATGCAATGGAGGTAAAATTCCCTGTGAATTCTGTGTAATCAGCCAATATCATCGTCCCCCTCGCCACAAAACTGTAGATCAGCGTTTGCTGACCCATCATCCTAAATGTATTTTCTACGCTTAAAAAGTTTTGTTATGATTATTGAAACAAAGTAAAACCCAGAATCCAAATAAATGAAAGATGGAGGAAAATAATAAAAAAATGAGTCAAGGATGAGAGAATGAGAGAAATGTGGATGATAAGGATGAATGGAGTAGAGAAAATTAGGGAAGGGAAGAGAGGTGAAAGGTTTATATTCATCTACCTTAAAATTAAATTGGGGTGATGCTAGTATTTGAATTTGCATGTAGGGGGAGGGGGATTTCGCAAAAGATCCGCTAATTTGTCTACATAACAAATGGTGTTTTACATTTTCTATCATTAAACTTGGATTCATTATTTTGACATTTTAATAAACTAGTATAATGCACGTGATGGTAAATGTCTTTTGTCGATTAAGTTTAGTAACATAAATTAATTAATTTATTAAACATATCATTAAAGGAACAAAATAAAATGTAAACAAACGATGCAGGCATTGCGCAATGCACCTCAGTGATGGGCGGTCGATGCACGGCGATCGTGCGTGGGTCCTCAACAACGGCTCGTATGTTGTTGGGCAACGACATAACTTTATTGAGAAATACTCATTGTACTTGAAATCAGGCGGGAAGCTGTGACAAAATGCTTGGAAATTGATAGAAATGGTAAGCACTCGGTTACGACTCTTGCGCTTGGGACTCGGCTCAATTCTTCCTCTTGTTTTCGAATGAATGAACCTAGAAATCATCAATAGACATGAAAAAAGTACGTCAAAACACAAAAGCACAATATGAAAACAAAATCACACAAAACAATCTAAGAATGGACCGATTAAATAAGAAAATGAACCTATAAACGACTATACTCATCGCATAAAACACACAAAAATAAACGAAAAATATATAAAACAACTTCCCCACATTTAGCCTTTTGTTTTCCTCAAGCAAATAGATTGTTTCAAAAGTAAAAATGAAAGGTCTATAAATAATGATCATGCTTAATGTAACTTTCTTGTTCCTCCGTGATATGGGATAACCATACTTGGTCGATTAAGCCGGAGAGATGTTCAAACTGAACCAGACTGGTCATCAGGTCGAAAGATTATCAAGTCGAAGAAGACATTGGGAACATATAAAACACTAGCAAATCGAATAGGGGCCTAGAGTAGTCGAGGATATGTTCAATTCGAAGGAGCACCTGGTCGAGGGATAGACCAGAAGAGCAGAACAACAGAACTTGGTGATCGAAGAGATCTTTCCTCGAGGCAATAAGGGTCAAAGGCATGGTTGGACCGCCTTACGAAGTGTCTTAAGAAGATAAAAAGGAATCTTAGGGAAATTATATCCCCACATCGGTAAAACCACGTGGCATCACCTGAGTGGTCCACACCTCATAACCTTTTATGACAGCCTGGATGGTTCTGATAGCTGTGACAATCAAGGTAGCCCACGCGCTAGCTATGGGGGAGTTCACACGCCCGACTTGGGCCCTAAGGTGTCATTTCCCTATATAAAGAAATGGGGTATGTTTTGAATTACATTATATTTTCTATTATACATATTATATTACAGAGAGATTTTACTCTTTGCACTTCATCTTCTACACTTACTCATTTAAGCATCGGGGGCTCTTCACCTACGACCCCATCTGATGTGAAAGTTCTGCAGGTTCAAGGACATTCAACCGGCATCCAGCTCGAGATCCAGGCATTTTTAGCTTGTTCTAGCTGGCCGGAGGTTCTTTTTACCACTCTAGATATGCTTATAATTAAACTAAAACTCAAAAACACATCCCTCATAAAATGACTTCGTACAAAAATCAGAAGTTGCTAGGAGCTAGGGTCAGACGCGTGCTTGTTGTGGGGCCGGATCTGGCGCGGATCTGGGCAGAGGCTGCTGGATCTGGACTCTACGGACTGGATCTGGCACTGGGCATGCGGATTTGGGCACTGCAGGGGATAGGCGCATGTCGACTGGGCCGCTGGGACTTGCTCGGCGCTAGGGCTTGCATTTGGAAGCTGGAACTGGCGCTTGGGAGCTGCTGGGACTGAGGGGCTGCGGTTGGGCGCACGGGGTACAGATGGCTGGGGATGTGAGCAGTCAAGGGCTGCTGTGGGATGCCTTGAGCTAGCTGGGGACATGCGTGGCTAGGGCTGGACGTGAGGTGCTCGGGTCTAGGCTCAGTTTATGGGATGGCCGATTTCATGCTATGGCTAAGGCTAGAATTTTGGCTAAGGAGAATATATGCTTGAGCTTAGGAAAATGGTGGGAAGAAAAGAAGATGAGTTGGGAAAAAATGAAGAGGATGAGCGATGAGGGTCTTATATAGGTGCACATGGGATTAGGGTTTGGGGGACAAAGGTACAAAAGCAACTTTGTCTTGTCCCCCATAGTACAAACTAAGTTGGGCATCTGACCAATTCAAATTTGGATCTTGTTGACCAAGGCTAAGCTCAAACCCTAATAGTACAACTTTAAGACTTGGGCCAACTAAATAAATTAGGGATTGGGCCTCATAAACTAAACGTCTTGGCTTGAAAAATGTTGGGCCCGATTTTAAGGCCTTGGGCCGGGATCGAGTTGTTGGGCTCGGGTTACTTGGGCTTCGGTCCTTGCGTCATGCTTGATGTGGCCACGAGTGTTGGCTTGCGCCGAGGCCTCGGTGTTAGAGTAGGGTACCCGGCGTTCCAATCTAATTGGACGTATTCTACTTGTAAATACAATCTATTGGAATTATATTATTAATAAGGCATTTCTTTATCTTAAGAGAAAGCATTTATCTTATAATTGCACTTAAGATAAAATCCCTAGATCACATATAGTTATAAGGTATGGTTACGCATAGAGATGGTGATCATGGAACATACCTTGAAAGCTGTGATTTTAAAAACAGTTCCAAGTCGATGGATGTTTCGAGATGGGATATCGAATAATCCATAAAAGACTTGCACATAGTTTGTACGCTTGTTGGATAAGAATGTTGCATTCCATCAACATTAGCGTAAGACGTAAGTACATTTATGTGGGTGCTTGTTAGAGAACAAGTTCACTGAACATGACCGTATGAAAATTCTTAATGAAGAATTTATTCAGTCGAATAAGAATTTTCATGTTACAATAGTACATGACTAATCCTAAGACTTGAGGCACAATGGTAACTTTGTGCATATTACATTCTACTTTGATTTATCCTTTTGGTAGCTAGCACTATCGTTTAAAGGGATAAGTTGGGTATTATGTTAATATGTATGGAAGTTTGTTAGTGGCCAATAAAGGATTCGACACTTATGAAGATAAGTGAATTTCCTATGTGTTTCATAGTTATTAATCCAAAGTCCTTGGCCAAGGCAGAGATGAATAGTGATTCATAACCGGGTTAATAAACATGAAATAGAATCATAGTTATTAAGTCAATTTGGGTTTCGACAAAATCATACCCAAGACTTAATCGGGAAATTAGATGTCGAAAGGATTTTACATGTATGGAGTTGTAATCGGAATAGGTTTACTCGCTATTCACTTAATACTAGATTCATGCTACTTGCTAGGTGTTCCCATGATATGTGGGTTCATGAATTAAAGGGTCAATTCATGAATAAGAGTTAATAAGATTTAACTCAAATTATAAAGTGTTATAAACCCACTACTAGTATTAAGGTGAACCTAAAAGGTCACACTAATTATGAACAAAGGTAAAGATTGTATTTCTAATGGTTAGAATTAATTGATAAATATCTAATTTGATTAGATGTCAATTAAAGGAATATATTAATCAATAAGATTGATTAATTACATTTTGGATATTACTTTAGTAATTAAGGTAATTACTAAATTAATAAAGTTGAATTTTAAAATAGGATTTTAAATTTCAAATCCAAAATAATAATAATATGATTATTATAATATGGATGAAAATTGGGAAAAGAATATAATAATAAAGTCTTGGAATAGATTCTCAAGATTTATTATTCTATTATTATGAATATAATAAATGGTGGTTATGAACCACCTCACATTGTTTAATATATATAAAGTCAATAGTTAGTAATTGTATTTAAATAAAATCAGATTTTATTTAAATATTACTAAATATTGATTATTTTATGCTCAAATGTTTAGTATAAATAGATGTAAATGGTTTACATAAATTTGCTAATTTGATTTTCAAGAAAGTGTTCTTAAAATTCAAGAGTTAGAAGAAAAGTTCTTCACAATAACAAGAAAAGTTCTTGAGAGTTTCCTAAATTAAATCCATATAAATTCCTATACGAGAAAACCGAGTCATTCCTACTAGCGAAGGAAGGTCGTCGGAACCAGGATTCATAGGGTGGATACTGTTAGAGGGAAGACACTTGGATTCCTCAAGCGAGTAACCTCAATTCGTTGAAGTTATCAAACCAGGAACCGATTCCCTCAAGTTCATCGTTTGTGAAGGAGTTCAAGACAAATCGGTAAATATTTGTACTGGTATTTATTTTTATATAACAAATCAAAATTTGTATATGATGCATGTTTTAAAGATGACGATCAGTTAATTCGCAATTAGTATGTACGGGTGTTGTATTTATACGATAAATACTTACTTTGAAAATATTTAAATTCCGCTGCTTAAAGCCCGTACGGTACTAGCGAACACAACACTCGGCTCGTCCGGGCTTCGGCCCATATTAAATAAAATTCCTGATTTTTCTAAAGCTCGGTTTCAACATAAAAATGAAACCGATACTTGGGTTAAATAAATTCAATTTTTGGAATTAAAAATCGAATGGATCCTCCATGGCTTAGATTTAGAATTTATTACTCAATTTAATGCAAATAATATAAATTAATGCATCAAATAAATAAACTTGCTATTTATGGAAATAAAGTCGAACTCAATAATACTAAATATATTCGGGGCATTACAGAAGAGCTTGTTAGTTTATATACTTAAAGCTTAGCCTTTTGCATTATTTATACTATTTCTTATTGAATGAGAATCATGTTTAATTAAAAAGTTCTACATTTTGATGTTTTACATTTTGTATAATTATGGGGATGAAAGAAGATTATATTATTGGTTACTTGTAAAACATAAATAAATGATCACGACCGAGATGGAATTGAACAAACCATCGTGAACGGTTGTAGTGTAATTCAACTCGGTTGGTCTTGACTGATGAATGAAACTGGTACATCTCAGATGTATTGAATGAATCCCATGAGGATAAGTTTATTTTATACTAACCAAATAAATAAACTAAACCTCAGTAGTTACTGCGTACTCTTAACCCGTAAGATAATAACGGACACATGCATTCAGTATCTGCTACTTTGGTTCACTAAAAAGTGAGGTCCATTCTGCTGGATCAATAGTTAAAGTGGATTGGGTGGTGATGCTGAGTGTATTGTGTGTTGTTCGATTATTTATGATCAACGTGTCCCTTAGTTTGATGATATCCCGAAAGTGAACTCAAGAAGGATTATTATGTCAAGTCCTTCAGGCGAATTGAGTTTTGACATAATAATAAAGAATTGAATGATACTAACTTTGAATCAAGAAGTCAATTATATTGTCAGTAATTAAATTATTTGATGGACATTATACCTTAAACACATGGAGGTAAATTTAGTAATTATAAGGGAGCCTCATATGTAATTTGAGAGTTAAATAGGGGAGTTCACTAATATTTCTTTAGTGGACTCTAATTTTATTCAAGTATAAACGGTGTGGGCGAGGCCTACAGTTGGAGCTACACTTGGTGAGTCCATGTTTAGCATCTTCTTAAGGTCCCTATTGTAACCTATAAATACACCACTTCCCTTAATGAATCTCATAAGCCTACATGCATAAACAAATTCATACGTGTGAGGTCTTGTGAGTTTGATAATCATCGGGATATCCTCAAGCTCGTCGCCCACTAAGTCGTACAAGGAGGTGTAGGGACACACAACAAAAGGCCCCGAGGTCAACCAAGACCACGCATTACCACACGCAGCCGCGCGACCAACGGCGTCACCGGTGCAACCCCGACGCATAACTGCAATGCACAAGACACGCCATAGCGATTCGTGAGCCACAACCGAGAATAACAGTCCATTGCACGTGGCGCACATCGCGACCAAGCGCATGCATGCAGCAAGACCCGCAACAAGCCCGATGACCAGAACGCAGCAACCCGCAGCGACCCCGACGAGCGACGTGCGCGACCAACGAACCCCGACACGCACACGATCGGCGATTCCGACAAGACTCTGAGCGACCGAGGCAAGGTGGCTGGACGAGGTGAGAAGATCATCTCAGAACTATTCGTTCGACCCTTAGGTCGTGTAGTCTGTACAGAGTCTGCAAAAGTTTTTAACCCGTAAGTGTTCAACTATTGATTTAGTTCTATTGCGCTTATTTTTAAATGGTCATATATTGTATATTTTGTAAGGCATTTTTCTTTTTTCTTTTTTTTTTTTATTATATTTTTTATAAAAGTCATATCATACGAGAATGATAGTGATATGTATTTTACATAACATAAGTAGAAAAATTGTATTTATCGCATCGCAAACTTCATATAACACAGAGTGTTAAATATATGTAATTAAGAAAATATCATGCTAATTATAACTCAAGATTTTTATTTAAATAAAAATAATTATGCAGTTTACAGAACTTGAAATTTAAATTTACAAATTTCTATATTTATGTTTTTTAGTGTCATTATTAAATATTTCTTACCCAGAACCAGTGTAGTACTAGTTAAAAATAAAATGTGATAAGTCCACACAATTTCACAACAAAATTGAGCTACCATGAATATCTTTCTTTCCAGTGTAGTACTAGTTAAAAATAAAATGTGATAAGTCCACACAATTTCACAACAAAATTGAGCTACCATGAATATCTTTCTTTCGAAATAAAAGGCAAAAATTGCTTACAAGGGGTATCCTTTCACTTGGAGCAACTTGAGGAAAGGGAACGATTTCATAGAAGAACGGCTCGACAGAGGTTTTGACTCGAAGGATTGGATGATAAAGTTCCCTAATACTTGTGTCACTCACGTTTTGAGAACTTCATCAGATCATTTTCTTCTTCTGATGGAAACCGATGAAAAGAAGGAGGTGAGGAAGAAGAACTTTTGCTTCGACCGAAGGTGTCTTAAGATAGAAGGAATCAAAGACGTGGTGGAGGAAGCTTGAAGAAGAAATGTCCTTGGTTATCCACTATTCAGACTTCATGCCAAAATCAAAAACTGTCGGGGGGAGTTACTGAAATGGAAGCAAAAGTCTAAAACAAATTCAGCTCTTTGCATTGAGGACTGTAAAAAAACAACTCCAACAGCTTCGTGAAAAAGGAAGTCAAAGAGATTGGGATAAGTGACAGTCAGAAAAAATCAAGCTTTCCGAGGCCTATGAAAAAGGAAGAAATATATTGGAAAGATAAATCGAGAATTGACTGGTTGAGGGATGGTGATAAAAACACTAAATTTTTTCACTCCGCAACTGTTCAAAGAAGAAGAAGAAACATAATTGATCACTTAGTGAGGGAGGATGGTGTGGTTTGTAGTTCTGAAGAATCAATCTTGGAGGAAATTTCTACCATTTTTCAAATCTTTTCCAATCAACAGTGAATGAAATTGATCTCAGAATTTTGGAGGGGATACCCGAGCATATCTCTTCTTCAATGAATCAAGATTTGACCAGTGAATTAATGGAAGAAGAAATCAAAGAGGCTCTCGTTCAGCTCCACCCAAATAAATCCCCAGGTATGGATGGAATGTCTCCAATCTTTTTTCAATCCTTTTGGTCCCTTATCAAAACTGACTTTTGTGCTACAGTTAAAAATTTCTTCATCTCTTGTAAACTTCTCAAGTGCATTAACCAAACATTAGTAACCTTAATTTCAAAAATAGAAAATCCTTGCAAAATTGGGCATTTTAGACCCATCAGTCTTTGTAATGTTGTCTACAAAGTAATTTCCAAGATATGAGCTAATAGGATTAGAAGTGTGATCAGTGTGTGCATAAGTGAGAGTCAATCTGCATTCATACCGGGGAGACAAATTTTGGACAATATTGTCATAGCTCACGAGTGCTTTCACTTCTTAAAAAATTGTAGATATCAGAAAGATTGTTTTATGGCCATCAAATTGAATATGTCCAAAGCTTTTGATAGGGTGGAATGGGCATTTCTTATTGCGGTTTTGAAAAAAATGGGTTTTGCTGATGCCTTTGTTAAGTGGATTTGGATATGCTTGAATACTTCTTCTTTTTCCTTTAAAATTAACGGCCAGAGCAAAGGTTTTGTGCTGCCTAGCAGGGAAATCAGGCAAGGGGACCCACTCTCTCCTTTTTTGTTCATTTTGATCTCTGAAGTGTTATCCTTTCAGCTAAAAAAAGCTAGTTCGAATGCTTTGCTGACCGGTCTGAAATTGAATAAAAATGCTCCTGAGTTATCAAACTTATTTTTTGCTGACGTCACTATTTTATTTTGCAAAGCTGAGGTTTCTCAGGTACAGGTTATTAAGGATATTTTGGATATCTATTGCAGAAACTCAGGTCAGGTTATTAATTTTGAGAAATCATCTTGCTACTTCAGTAAGAATACTCCTTTAATGCTAAAACAGGCCTTGTGTTATTTGTTGGGTATTGCTTTGGAGAATTAGAATTCTGTTTATGTTGGTTTACCCCTTGTCATAGGAAGGAACAAACAGGAAGTCTTCAAATTTGTGAATGATAAAGTTAATCAAAGACTCAGTAATTGGAAAAACCTTATGCTAAGTCCAGCTGGTAAGGAAGTTTTGCTCAAATCTGTGGCTTGTGCTATTCCTAATTATGTAATGTCATGCTTTAAACTCCCCAAGAGCTGTTGCAATTCTTTAAATAAGGTAACATCTGACTTTTGGTGGGGTGATAACAAGTTTGGTAATCGAAAGCTGCATTGGTTGAAATGGGAGAGAATGACTTTGCCAAGGGTTGAAGGAGGGTTGGGGTTCCAGGACTTGCAATTGAACAATGAAGCTCTCTTGGTTAAAATTCTCTGGAAAATCTGCACAGATACTGAATCTCTCTTGAGTAAAGTGATCAGAGCCAAATATTTTGGGGATGAATGGTGGCAGAAGCCTTGACCAAAGAGCAATCAATCTTGGTTTTGGAGTGGTTTGCAGAAAATTCATGATTTGTTGTTGTTGGGTCTCAGATTAAAAATTGGAAATGGTAAAGTTGCAAGAATCAGAGATAGTCCTTGGATTCCAAACAATCCAAAATTCAAATTATTAGATGGATACTGTGTTGACCCTAACTTAGTTTGGGTTAAAACCAATTAATTGATTTTGAGAACAGGTGCTAGAACAGAAACCTTTTTGAGAGGAATTTTCACCATCTTGATGTGGCAGCAATTCTTCAAATTCCTCTCAACAATTTGGATTGTGCGGATGAGCCAACTTGGCACTGGGAGAAGAATGGACTCTTCAGTGTGAAATCAGCAAAGATGATTATCTCCAGAAATCACAAAAGCAGGCAAGATATACCAGAAGAAAGTCGAACAAGGCAGCAGAACAAGAAAAAATGGGAAGCAGTATGGGGCTTAAAAGTTAAGAATACATTGAAGCATTTCATATGGCGATGCCTCAACAATAGTTTGGCAACATGAGTGAATCTTTGGCGAAAAAATCAAGTACACAGTCTCATTTGTCCAATGTGTGGAGAAGAAGAAGAAAGCATGGAAAACATTTTTTCTCTTGTCCCAGAGCAGCTTTGGTTTGGAAAATCTCACCAATTTCTTGGAATAAGATGGGAAATTCAGATCAAAACTTCAATGATTGGTGGTTTTATATAGTTAAGGAAAGGAAAAATTCTAACTTTCATAACATGGTGCATGTTTCAGTGTATATACTCTGGTGGTTATGGAAAACGAGAAATATTTGGGTGTTTGAAGGTCTTTAGAAATCAGAGAAAGAAGTTATTGATGGCACCTTGGCCGAGTGGGAGGAATTCAGCAAGGCTACTTACTCGTCTTTTGCTTAATTCAGTCCGTTTTGTGCATGGATGGAACTAGGGGATTCTTTTCCCAGTGGTGCTTTCCATTGTCGTCATCTTCTTTTGCTTGTTAGCAGATTTGGGAAGAGCTAGGGAATTCTCATAATTCCAGTGGTTGTTCTTGAATCATCTTTCTGTAGCTCCTCTTCTTTTTTTGGTGTTTGTACAAAAACCTTTTGTTAGTTATTGCTTTTGTAATGTAAATCCTGAGTTGTATTCTAGGTTGCTGTTCTAAAGTTTAACTTTTGTTCTCTTTATCCCCTGGTTATGTAAATCCAGTGGATTTTCTTGAAACTGTGTATTTTCTACTTAATGTAAATGGAATTATAAAAGGCAAAAATTGATGGATTTATTTCCTTAAAAAAAACAAAAAATGAACTGGACAAAAAAGAAAGAAAAAAAAATCTAGTGGACCAAAATAGAAAACCCATATTCACTGAATACGTTTTCTTTTATAAACCGTATTTGCTAAATACGGTTTCAATTATAAAACGTATTTAGTGAATGTGTTTTCGGTAAACAAAAATTATTAAAGTTAATTATCGTAATCAACGTAATTAACCTATAGCAAAACGTATACGTTTTATATTCAAAAACTACAATACGTATTAAATAAATACGTTTTTATATTAAAATTAATTTAATATTATTTTTTTAATCATAAAACGTATTTAAGAAATGCGTTTTATAAATAAAATCAATTTTCTCATTTCGCGAAAATAATTTTTTTGGGATAAAATGTTTTAGAATATAAAACGTATTTGCTAAATACGTTTTACTTTGTAATTTTGCCCCAAATTGATTTTCTTTGCCCTAATTTTAATTTCAACACAAAACGTATTTACGAAATACGTTTTTCGTACTAAAAAAATAGAAAACGTATTAGTCAAATACGTTTTTATACAAAATCCTGTTCACTATCAAATGCACCTGTTTACAACCAAAAAATACACCTGTTCACAACAAAAAAATATACCTGCTCACAACCAAATCCATCATACCATAATTTGCCGAACAAAAAATTGAAACACAATAATTTGCCGAACAAACAATATATACAAAACGATATAATTCGGTTTATACAGACAATCCAACAATTCAAAATAAACACAAAATCTACAAATTCAACACAACTAACTAGGAAGAAGTGAATGGTTGTGTAGGTTTGCGCGGTCTGGACCCCCTCCGAGTATATACCACGTGAGAAGAAGACGAAGGTTGAGGTGTGAGAAGCGTGTCAGTTTGAAAAGCCTGCTCATCCTCCTCTTCTTCATCTGAGTAATTCAATTGAAAAAAGAAATTATAAATTGAACTATAAAAAAAAAAGAAATGCTAATTTAAAAATCTCACCTTGTTGAGGCTCGGGCTGCTCAGGTTGGAGGCGTTGGGCGGACGGCTGAGCGCGGGGACGGGCCCGAGCTCTTCTACCCCCACCAATGTTGGGGGCGGGTTGATGCCTGGCCGTGTGTGACTGTGTCCTCATGGGGGGAACGTATTCGTCCTGGGAGAAAACTTGACTAGACGGCCCCCCATGTGGAACACCCTGGCCCCCAACAGTCATAGAAGAGTAGGCAAAGTTGTACGACTGTTGGAAGCCGGTCTGCGCTTCTGAAGGGATTTGAGGCATTAATGGTTGAATGTCGGATAATGCGCCATAAACCCCTTGTAGTGCAGAAGTCTGTAAATAAAATTCATAATAATTAATACGAAACGCAAAAAAAAATAAATAAATATATAATAATAATAATAATAATAATAATAAACACAAATAATGAACTATTACCTGACAGCCTAACCGCTCGGCAAGTGGCTGATACCCGCCCGCCTGCTGGAACACCGGGTAATTGGCAGGGTTATTGATGAATCTCACAGTCCTGCTGTGAAACCATTCAAGGTAACCCTGCTCTGGCTGTGGATAGTCGTGCACGGGGGCAACTGGGAGGAGACGTTGTTCTATTTCTTCTGTCCACGACCTCAGAAACGACACATGGAATGCAGCCCAATCATAAAACGCCCTCCCAGTCATCCCCTGACCCTTATGGTGTGTGTCCCAGTCGCGCTCATCCAGAATGATCGGATCGTGGGGGATGGACTGGCGACACCCAAATTGACGGAGGACCCTGTCAGGCAGGTGTACCTCCCGGGTGTTCCAACTGAAAATCCACCCCCGGTACATCCATAATTGTGGATCTCTTGAGCACGCCTCCGGGAGAGTATCATTCTGCAGGTGTTGTTGATAGGGCTGCCATTCGAACTGTAAAAAAAATAACAATTGAATTAGTAATTAAGTTATTACAAAATTAGAAACCAAAAAAAGAAAGATAAACCAAGTAATAGGAATTAAGAATATTACATCATACTCTCCCAGCCCTGTCAACTGATCCCGGTAAGCGGCCAATGTCATGGCTATGTTGGACCTCTTTTTCGGTCCCTTCCACCTTAGAAAAATTAGAGAGAAAAAAAAGTTTGTAATCACAAAATTTGATAATGGAAAAAATGTACGGATTAAATAAAAATAACGGTGATTACCTCGCTCCCAATGGACAACCAGGCAGATTATCAAACACACTGGTCTTCACTATTGGGCGAATACGAGGGATATGCTCCCATGCCCAAACCTACACAAATGGATATTAATTTTTGTATTAGGTATTAGTCGAAGTAAGAATAAATAAAATATTAAATTTTCAAATAACAATTAAATAAACTTACCTGGATCAATTGAACGCAGTTCTTCAGCCACTTCTCCTTGGCCTTGTACGAGGTTGACAACGCTCGATACACTCCGGCCAAGAGCGCTGAACCCCAGTTGTACCCCTTAACAGCATCTATGTCCTGCAGCAGGTCTAGCCAGTAAAGTGGGACGCCATTCGCCCGCTGGTCGGGGAAGATGAAGGACCCAATGCACCAGAAGGTAAGGGCCCTCGCCCTCTGCTCGTACACCATGTCCGGTTGGCCTTCTTGCAACACACGGTTGCATTCCTCCTCCAACCCGCCATCATTAAGATACTGGCCTTTAATGTCCCAAGATTTTGGATCTTGGGCTGCCTGCTCTTCCTCGGTGGTGGGAGGATCCTGAGAGTTGTTTTTCCATATTTAAACAAAATTGAGTTGACATATAAAATTGAGTTGACATATATTTAAACAAAATTCTATGGAAAAATATACCTGGACATAGGGTTGGTGTTAGAGTAGGGTACCCGGCGTTCCAATCTAATTGGACGTATTCTACTTGTAAATACAGTCTATTGGAATTATATTATGAATAAGGCATTTCTTTATCTTAAGAGAAAGCATTTATCTTATAATTGCACTTAAGATAAAATCCCTAGATCACTTATGGTTATAAGGTATGGTTGCGCATAGAGATGGTGATCATGGAACATACCTTGAAAGCCGTGATCTTAAATACAGTTCCAAGTCGATGGATGTTTCGAGATGGGATATCGAATAATCCATAAAAGACTTGCACATAGTTTGTATGCTTGTTGGACAAGAATGTTGCATTCCATCAACATTAGCGTAAGACGTAAGTACATTTATGTGGGTGCTTGTTAGAGAACAAGTTCACTGAACATGACCGTATGAAAATTCTTAATGAAGAATTTATTCAGTCGAATAAGAATTTTCATGTTACAATAGTACATGACTAATCCTAAGACTTGAGGCACAATGGTAACTTTGTGCATATTACATTCTACTTTGATTTATCCTTTTGGTAGCTAGCACTATCGTTTAAAGGGATAAGTTGGGTATTATGTTAATATGTATGGAAGTTTGTTAGTGGCCAATAAAGGATTCGACACTTATGAAGATAAGTGAATTTCCTATGTGTTTCATAGTTATTAATCCAAAGTCCTTGGCCAAGGCAGAGATGAATAGTGATTCATAACCGGGTTAATAAACATGAAATAGAATCATAGTTATTAAGTCAATTTGGGTTTCGACAAAATCATACCCAAGACTTAATCGGGAAATTAGATGTCGAAAGGATTTTACATGTATGGAGTTGTAATCGGAATAGGTTTACTCGCTATTCACTTAATACTAGATTCATGCTACTTGCTAGGTGTTACCATGATATGTGGGTTCATAAATTAAAGGGTTAATTCATGAATAAGAGTTAATAAGATTTAACTCAAATTACAAAGTGTTGTAAACCCACTACTAGTATTAAGGTGAACCTAAAAGGTCACACTAATTATGAACAAAGGTAAAGATTGTATTTCTAATGGTTAGAATTAATTGATAAATATCTAATTTGATTAGATATCAATTAAAGGAATATATTAATCAATAAGATTGATTAATTACATTTTGGATATTACTTTAGTAATTAAGGTAATTACTAAATTAATAAAGTTGAATTTTAAAATAGGATTTTAAATTTCAAAAATCCAAAATAATAATAATATGATTATTATAATATTGGGAAAATGATATAATAATAAAGTCTTGAGAAAGATTCTCAAGATTTATTATCCAATTATTATTTATATCT